CAGCTCCCATTGGCCTGGAGCAGCGAACTGTGGCCAGTGGGAGCTGCGATTGACCGGACTTGTGGACAGGGCAGATAAACAAACCGGCGCGGCCCACCAGGGGCTTTTCCTGCACAAGCGGCGACCCCAGTTTGAGAAACACTGATTTACATGGAATCAGTAGAGATGAAGATGACTAAGGGGTGTTGCTTACATCTGTTTTAATTTCTGAATCCTATGAATCAAATTTTAAGTAGTAGAAGTCAACTCAGAGTTACTTTCCAAGATTTTGCAGCTGCATAAGTTGGAACTGGAATGACTGCTCTGTGTAGCCCTTACACTCAGATTCTTGTATTCTTTGTGCATCACCACTGGAGATCTGAATTATTTGAAAATAACTGGGACGGCAGCAGTTTACTGATGCTCGCCAGCTTCTGTAGTGGGGATGTTTATTTGTGTGGGGATGTTTATTTGTATCAGTTTTTCTTGCTCCAGTTCCCAGGATAAATTTTATATCAGTTACTAGATGTTGGTCCCTCTGAGGCCGAGGTTCTATTAAACCAGAGTGAATGTATTGACATCTTCTGTAATCAAATGAGTAGGGGAAGAAGACTGGAAGCCAAGACACCTGGTTTCCATTCCTGACTCTGCCACTGACTCACTGGGGACTGGATTGTCCCAGCCTTCCCATGGCTGCACAGGGGATAAGGTTCCCTTAATAGTCTGCTTGATCCTGGTCAGATTCTGACTCCAGCCATGGTAGGGAGAGGGGGAAAAATAGGAGAGGAGGCTACTCTGCAAGAAAGTAGGCAGGCAAGGGACAGAGAGAGCCAAGAGCCCTGGCCCCTCTCCCCCTATTTGCCTGCTAGATTAACCAGCCAGGTGCAGAGCAGGCAATAACTTGCTCCCCAAACAGAGGTAAAGTAACTTACTCCCATGCTCCGCGTGCAGGGAGATCAGAGGAGAAACTGGGATTGAAACTGTATGTGTTCTCTTCTTCACTCCTGGGTCCACACAGCTTAGGCTTGCCAACTTTCTGATTGCAGAAAACCAAACATCCTTACCCTGTCCCTGCCCTGACCCTGCCCTGAGGCCATGCCCCTTCTCATAAGCCCCGTCTCTGCTCACTCTGTCTTCCCTTCCTCCGTCGCTTGCTCTCCCACACCCTCACTCATTTTCACTGGGCTGGGGCAGGGTGTTGGGGTGTGGGAGGGGGTGAGGATTCCAGCTGGAGGTGCAGGCTCTAGAGTGGGGCCAGGGATGAGAGGTTTGGGGTATGGGAGGGGGCTCAGGGCTGGGGCAGGGGGTTGGGGTCCGGAGGGGGGGTGAGGGCTCCAGTTGGGGGTGGGGACTCTGGGGTGGGGTCAGGGATGAGGGATTTGGGGTGCAGGGGGGGCTCCGGGCTGAGGGTGGGGGCTCTGGGAGGGAGTTTGAGTGCAGAAGGGGGTTCTGAGCTGGGGCAGGGGGTTGGGGTGTGGGAGGGGGTGAGGGCTCCAGCTGGGGTGGAGGATCTGGTGTGGGGCCAGGGATGAGGAGTTTGGGGTGCAGGAGGGGGCTCCGGGCCGAGGGGTTTGGAGTGTGGCAGGGGTGGGGGCTCTGGGTTCCTGGCCAATGGGAATTTCAGAGCCGGCTCTTGGGGTAGGGGCAGCATGTGGAGTCTCCCTGGCTGCCCCTGTGCCTACGGGCCACAGGGACATGCCGGCCGCTTCTGGGAGCCGTGCGGAGCCAGAGCAGGCAAGGAGCCTGCCTTAGCCCCAGTGCGCCGCCGAGCAGACTTTTAATGGCCCGGTTAGCGGTGCTGACCGGAGCCACCAGTGTCCCTTTTCAACCGAGCGTTTCATTCAAAAAAACGGATGCCTGGCAACCCTAATACAGCTACATGCTGCCCCTTACTCTGGGCAGATGGCGAAATAACAAATAGCTCTGGGTGAGCTAGAGCAAGTTACTTAGGGCCTGATTTTCATTTACTGTAAGGTCCCATTTAAACCGCTCTGGCAACATGAACAGACTTTGGACTTAAATTGAGCTGTTTACATCTACTTTGAGGCTCCTTTACATTGCCAGCACATGTAGATAAGAATCAGGCCCATAATCGTTCAGTGCTTCAATTTTACCCATATGTAGAATGGGTGAAATAATATTTTCCCATCTCGCAAGGGTGTTATGATGCGCTCAGTTTATAAAATGCTTTGAGATCCTCGAATGAAAAGTATTAGTTACATTACGTACATCTACCCGAAGGTCATTTTTTCCCTTCACTTACACATGTACTTTTCTTGAGCAGTGGACAGCTGTGTTTATATGTTTTAGTGTCTTCTGTATCCCTAATTCGTCTCCCAGCAGGTCATAGGAGCAAGTGTCCAGGATTCATTGTAAAATCCTGCTTGTAAATGAGGTAACATCTGTTCTTTGTAGATGTACTTGCTACTGCAGTGCAACAAGCCAGCCAAAGCATGGGGTTTATGTACCTCAGTAATCCATTTAGCATTTCTGATATAGTCCAGATTTTAGAATAATTACATCCACATTTAGTCAGATGCCTCTTCCTGGATCCTTGTGTATTCTTCCTTAAAATGTTTTTTAAACCAATTGTACAGTTAGAATTTTATACCTGTTTTACTGCAGATTCAGAAATGTGTTCCTTAATTTCTCTGTTTGTGTTTTCTTTTGTTGTGTTCTTTTACACTGCCTGGGATTTTAGTATTCTTAAGCAAACATGGTGGGATCAACATGGTGTGTAGTAGTAGTCATGCCACTTAAGCAACAGAAAAATTGTTTTTGAGAAAAATTTGTTTTTTGAGTAAATTAATTTGGGGGGGAACAGTGCCGTCTTTCAATGGAAAATTATTATTTGTCAATATATATATATATTTGCCCCAAACCCCAAATATTTCAATTTGGAAATGCTGAGGTGGAGCCTCATGTCCCATGAAACACCATGGTCAGAGCCTTCCATAATGCACTGCCTTGCCTCTCCAAGGGGAGAGAGACACTAATGCAGCATGGGAGATGTAGTCCAACCAGGGAACCCAGTCCATAGAGGCAAATGAGAACATAAAGCCTCCAAACTAAGACTCCCAGGAGGCACATTGGGAGCATCGCCAAATCATAATATTTTGGTGTTCAAACACAAATTTTCTGCATTTAAATTTATGCCCCAAACCTCATATTTTCTTCAGGAATAAACCCCATTTTGATTACTTCTTGGCAGTGTGTTGGGGGATTGCCCCCCAGCTTCTTTTGAGTGATTTCCCCCAGTGTTGCGTGGTAGTAGTATGCCTGCGACTGTGTTTAGCCTTCCCTGGATGTAGAATCATGCATGGCAGATGCCTCTGGAGGCTTTAGGATCCCACTTCCCCAGAGACATGTGGGCTTGGGGAAGAAAGGAAATTCGAAGAAGGAGCCAGTCTAGAGAAACTCAAGCCAGTAGGAGCAGACACAAAAGGAGCCTCAGCAGAGACCTTTGGACACTGATGGAACCATCAGGCAGCTTTCTATCATTTTTACTCAGGAGATTCTCTGCTGACTGGCTGTTTGCTTCAGCCCGCTCCTGCCCCTTCCCTCACATTCCTTTCACCTCATCCTCACTCCACATGTATTCATATGCCCCTCTTTCTTTCTCTGTCCCTCCCTCCCTCTTCTCCCCTGCCCGCCCCTGTATTCCCTTTTCTATGTCCCCTCTCCCTTCCTTTGTCTTTCCATCTAGCTAATGCCATTCTAACAAAACCCACACCCAAATAATTAAAAAACACAAAACTCCACCCCACAAAAAACAAAACAAAACAGTACAACTCACATGATATCAGTCAATCATCACTCAGCTCATGCTGATTGTGTTATTTCCTTTTCCTTTACCCTTTGACTGTCTGGTGTGCTTGGATTGCTGAACTTTTCAAGACTGGAACTGTCTTTTAAAATTTCTGAATACAGTGTCTAGCATATTAAAGCCACATTCTCAGCCTCTCGGTGCTACCGTAATAAAACTAAAAAATAATAATCCTTGTTCAGTGCATGCAAAACTCTTGCTGGTTTCATATGGAGCTCTAAGTTAGTGAGCATTAAGTAGCTACAGGATTAATCCATAATGTGGGATAGATTTAGTTTTCTAGCTGTTAACAAAAAAATTATCTGATTTAAATAAATATGGGGCTGTACCCATCTATAGGAGAAGGATACTTTTCAGCACAAAGATCTTGAAAATCACTCTTTTGGCCCAGAGAGCAGGAAAAAAGATTCTAATAGATGGTGCAGTCTGTTCATCGAGCCACCTGGGAAGGAATTTTACCCCAAACTTCTCCTAGGGCACTTGGGCTCTGCTCCATCCTCTGGGACTCAAAGCTATATATAACTGGCCAAGTCTAGCCTCATGAAAGCTGCTGGAATGAACAAGAGGAGTGAAGATGGTAGTTTATAATGCAACCTTCCCCATTTGACACTTGTGACCTTACATTTACAGTTCAGAGGTATGTAATTTGCTACTAGACTTAGGCGCAGCTTTGTAGGAGTGCAGCTATATAAAAAGATCATAATGGAGGAAAAGTTGCAGAGGGGCTGTGCAGTGCCCATGGTGGATAGTCATGCCTGTGGTACCATGAGTCATCATGTAGAACTTCGCTGAGACAAATACGTTTTCTTGTTTAAAATACACAAATTACTCTTCTATCTGTGTGCCTCTGCCTCCTTTGTTCTCCCTTCATTGAAACATGTTTCTATACACATTAACATCAATTTTATAGCTGTTAGATTTCTTTATCAAATACCAAACTCAGATGTTTTAACTCCACCTAGATATCATCTGTAATCTACTATCTATTGGCAGCTGTCTCAGCTTTACCAGGGATAATATACTATTGTATGTAGTGTTGTTGTAGCTGTGTTGGTCCCAGGATATTAGAGAGACAAGATGAGTGAAGGTGGTCCCATAAAAGATATTACCTCACCAACCTTGTCTCTGGAAATATTGGTAGTTAGAAGCAGAAGAACCAGTTTTTCTAAGGTTGAAGTGTTCTTTTTCTTTACAGGGTGAAAGAGGTTTGCCTGGTCTACAAGGTTTAATTGGGTTTCCTGGAATGCAAGGACCCGAAGGTCCCCCTGGGCCACCAGGAATTAAGGTAGGATACATTTAATACTTAAATGGGAAGATTTCCCTAAACCCTTGTCACTGTGAAAGACCAATATATTCCATTTTTCTTACAGGGTGATACTGGAGAACCAGGGCTCCCAGGAACAAAAGGAACAAGGGTGAGTATCTGCTTACATTTAGTTTTAATAATTTTGAAGAATGTAGGTTAAGATTTTTAAGTCTTAATGGTTAGCTTAATTTTTCATTAGATATGTTCGCTCTTTGCCAAGTGCAAGATAATGTCACCCCCCTCTTTGAGTTAGTCAATGGCTGCCTGTTAGTTTCAAAATTCTTGCTCTTGCCTTCAAGGGTCTGCAGCATGCTGCCCCTGCCTATGTCCTCTTACATTACCTACCTGGTCCTTATCACTCTACCATTTATACTGGTCTTGACAGTCTTCATGTTTCCCTCTCTTCCAAAGGTTGCCTTTTCTCATGCTCTGTTATACTTGGAAACCCCTGCTCAAGCTTGTTCACTAAGTCACCTCTCTCACCTACTTTAAAAGCCTCCTTAAAAAAATCATTTCTGTTGTCTCTCCTATAGGAAGAGAGCAGGGAGGACAGGAGACACACACTTACACACAAGTTAACAGAAACATTAATATATGTGTATGGCAGGGGGCTCAATCCTGCAACCATTAAAGTCAAAGGCAAAACATCCGTTGACTTCAGTAGTGCTGGACCAGGCCCTTTCTAAGTATCTCTGTGATCTTATTGATGTAACTCTCTTGTGCTTCTTCTTACTTTCCTAAGCTGTGCATTTGATACTTTAATCTGTCATGTTCATTTTAGCATGTATACTTGCCAGGGCATCGGCCATGTCTTTATTCGTTTTGTGAGGTACCTAGCTCTTTTGGGGCACTCTAAATTAATGATATAATAATAATGAAAGAGAACTTGAATATGTTGCATTTCCTGTGACATTTTTTATACCCACGGCTTTCTTGCACATAGTCTCAAATAGGCTTACCTACTATGGCTCTTTAGTGCCCTCTCATGGTTAGACCACATAGAAGCTGAGTCAGCCTTTGAGTTAATAGCTGTAGCTCAGGCACTAGCAACTTACACTGTTAGGCTAGGTCTACACTACCCGCCTGAATCGGCGGGTAGAAATCGACCTCTCGGGGATCGACGCTCTTACTCCACCAGCGAAGGTGGGAGTAAGGGCCATCGACACGAAGCCACAGAGGTCGATTTTGCCGCCATCCCTACAGTGGGGTAAGTCGGCTGTGATACGTCGAATTCAGCTATGCTATTCGCGTAGCTGAATTTGCGTATCTTAAATCGACCCCCCTCTGTAGTGAAGACTTGCCCTTAGACTCAGAGGTCTTAAAGTCAACCCACTGTTGATGATAGACACACCCAGGGGCACTGTGTTACACTAATTTGGGTGAACATATACCAACTGTACATGTGGTCACCACCAGCAGTACCAGTAGATTGGGCATTTAATAATGCTACAACGTTGGGTATGAAATTACATACCCAAGCTAAAACAACTACATCTGTCTTTCCTGCTCCCCAACACCCACATTAGAAATTACTGGAAGACTAAATAAGTTAGTACATTGAAAAGGACAGGCCTGGACAACATGCTGATTTGTTAAACTTGCAAAGTATTTGAGGAAAATAGTATAAGCGTTTCAACACTGTGATTTTTCTGAGCAATAAAAATTAAATTGGTGAATTGGTCATGGCTTATGGAAGACAGAGAAGTATCTACAGCAGTATGGTAGCATCCTGTTTTAATGTAAAAAGGGGATTGCTGTAGATTTCATATTAAGAATGACTGTGGCAAATGTACAAAATATGTATTCCTTAGCAGCATTAACTGTGCATTTCAGTTCTGATCCAAGACCATTGAACACAATGGAAATGGAGCTGATCAAAGATTTTTCAACATGTTTTGGAAAAAAATGAAAACTTTTGTGGATTTGTTTTTATTATTATTTTCCATCTAGCCTATAGAGCAGTGGTGGGCAACCTGCGGCCAATCAGAGTAATCTGATTGTGGGCCGCGATACATTTTGCTGATGTTGACTATCCTCAGGCACAGACCCCCGCAGCTCCCAGTGGCCATTCCCAGCCAATGGGAGCTGCGGGAAGTGGCGGGCTGCAGGGACGTGCTGGCCGCCACTTCCTGCAGCTCCCATTGGCTGGGAATGGCCACTGGGAGCTGCGGGGGTCTGTGCCTGAGGATAGTCAACATCAGCAAAATGTATCGCGGCCCACAATCAGATTACTCTGATTGGCCGCAGGTTGCCCACCACTGCTCTATAGGCTAGATGGAAAATAATAATAAAAACAAATCCACAAAAGTTTTCATTTTTTTCCAAAACATGTTG